GCACAGAAAGATAAATAACGCCTGTTCTCATTCATATGTGGAAGCCAAAAAAGTTGATCTAGGAGTAGATAGTAGAACAGTGGTTACTAGAGGTTGGGGAAGGGAGGTATAGGGTGAGCTAGTTCTACATTATACAAATTACAGCTAGATAGATGGAATAAGTTCTAGTGTTCTATAGCACTGTAGCATGACTACAGTTAACAATTTATTGTATAATTTCAAATAGCTAGAAGGGAGAATTTTGAATGTTCCCAACATAAAGAAGTAACAAATATTTGAGGTGATGTGATGATAATTACCCTAATTTGGTCATTAAACATTGTATACATGTACCCAAATATCACATTGTACTCCATGAATATGTACAATCAATTTCAAATAGCTAGAAGGGAGAATTTTGAATGTTCCCAACATAAAGAAGTAACAAATATTTGAGGTGATGTGATGATAATTACCCTAATTTGATCATTAAACATTGTATACATGTACCCAAATATCACATTGTACTCCATGAATATGTACAATCATTATGTGTCAATTAAAAATAACAACTTGAAGAAAAAAACGACTACATGGGCAAAGTGAATGAGTAGAAGAGACAACAGCAGACAAGAGACATCAACAAACTTTTAAAAAATGAAAAGCACATGAAGGAATTAGCAGAGTTGAAAATACTGTACACTACGGGCCTGCAGAGGCAGATGTTAATGACAGACAGGGAAATTCATATCACAAAATCGTGAAAAGGCTCAAGCATTGAAGGCAACAAATCACCAAATTCAGGAGTGAGGCGTGGGGCTTCAAATTGGTGGGTGGGTATAGGTGGGAATGAGTAGTTGAAAGTTTATATAAGAAGCTTTGAGACCACAATAGGAGATTAAAGATTAATTATGTAAAAACATGGAACCAATTATAAAGGAAGATGGAAGAGAATCATCATATTGAGAACAAGGGATTCAGCTAAAATCTATATACTAAATTGTGAGACAACCCCTCCCCCAAGAACTTCTTTATATCACTTATCACTAAACTCCTATAACAGTGACAACCAGGATTATAGTCTACAAATAAGATATTGGAGGATTCTTCTCTAAAGAAACTCTAGAGTCTCCGATATTTGTGGTCCAACAAGATGGTCAGCCAGGATCCTACTTAATTACCCTCTGTGTGAAACATCTCAGTTTACAAGCCTACATGCAGTTTCCAAGCATATTTGTAGTCTTATTTTTAAATGATAAGAAAGGTACTGCAGACTTATAAAGAATACCTCCAACACAAAAGACAAACCAAAACAAACAAAACTTTGGAAGAAACAAAGACAATGCAGGGAGCAGAAGAAAAGTTCAAAAAAAATATTCTTATCTTTAGAGATAAGAGTAGATATTACATCAAAGAAACAAGAACAGGATGCTATCAAAATAAAAAAAAAGAAAGGAACATTCTGAGTGAAAAAGCTCATAAAAAATTTAAATACAGTGGAAATTTTTTAAAAAATGTTTGGAATAGTAACTCATGAAAGTTTCATATAAAATAGAACACACACAAAAAAAGATGGAAAATAAGATCTTGATGAAAATAAGGAGCTTAATCCTGAAGATCCAATAACTAATAGAAATCCCCAGACTATGAAGGGTAAGTTTCCACACTGAAAAGGGCCCAGCACAATGAATTGAAAAAAGACCCGTACTAAGGCAAATTATTGTGAAATTTCAAAACTTCAAGGATAAACAGATGATCTTAAAGGCTTACAGAGGAAATTAAAAGGTCATATATAAAGATCAAGAGTTAGCATAACATCAGATTTCTTAACAACTCCGTAAGCCAGAAGACAAAAGATGAAAGCCTTTCAAAATCTGACGGAAAAATATTTACAACCTAGAATTATATACTCACCTAAACTACCCTTAAGTATAAGAGTGAAATAAACACATTCTCAGAAATGCAATATTGCACAATGTACCACCTTAACTATATATTATCAGGATGCAACTAGAGGATATTCCACCCAAATAAGGAACTATGTAGTTCCTAGAAATGTAACAGGAAATATGAGTTCCTAGAAACTGGATCTAACACAGATGAGAAACATCAACTCTACAAGAAGCTTAGAGAACTGCTAGTCCACAGTAGATCAGGAGAATTTTAGCTTCTAGAAGGAATAGCTCCAAGAAGAAAATCAAATTGTAGTAATTTGGTGTGTTTTGGGAGAAAATATTTTTCAAAAAAGCTTTAGAATTCTTTTGGAGTATCTGAGAAGAATTAGTGATACTGACATAGAACACAAAGCAAACAAAAAACGAGGAAATCTTGTAATATTTATGGGAAAGAAAATATAAATTTACATGGCCCAGTGGTAAAAAAAATACACACAGTCATAATAAAGTAATTTACAAATATTAATTTAACTGAAAACCTTGATAAAACAGTATTGTGAGGATAGAAGGAGGGGAAGGAGGGGGCATAGAATAATAAAAAAACGTTTAATCCGCGTCATCAATAAAAGGAAGTCAATACAATATTTAAGTGTATTATTAAGAAATGTTGGAGGTTAAAACCAAAAGAACGTGCTACACGTTTGGGCAGAATATCTCAGGAATGAGTAAGAGCAAGGGATTTTGGGTCTTGTTATGTGTTCTGTAGTACAATTTGAACTTTAAACTGTGGACTTGTATTACTTTTATACTTTTTAAGTTTTGAAAAATTCATAAGCACAAAAATATTTATTTCTGAGAAGCCTAATGGGATAATCTCTATCTCAATAGACATATTCATCAGTATTAAGGTTGCAAATGATACTTGTGATCATTATAAAAACAATTTCTCTGATAACATTTTTCTAATCTCCTGGTTAGATATTACATATTGCATCATGCCAATTTAATCAAAAGTTTTATTTTAGGAAAAAATCTAAGTTTCTGATAACATACTATTTACATTACTTTTTTTTGCTTAAAAATACCCAATTTTCTAAAGTCTGACAAATATTTTAAAGGCTTTTTCTTTTTGTTGAGAACTGGTAATAATATTTTATGGTTATAAGACTGAAAATTATGATGTTTGCCCTGAAATAAAAAACAAATTTTGTAGTCTATGAATGAGATCTTAAAGTTGAAAGATATTGTTTCTTTCATTTATTCCTTTCATTGGTTCTAATTTTTTTTAAATCTTTTCATAAATATTCAATTTTCTCTCTGTCTTTCTTTGCCCGAGTTTCTAATATTTTGATAATGATACATTTGGTAGATTATTAAACTCATAATTCCAGTAGCTGTCAATTGTTAAACAAGGGAATGTAGGAGAAAGAGTTTTGTCTTCAGAGATGGACACACCGAGATTCAAGTTTTACCTGTATGAGCCAAGGCAATCCCCTTCTTTGAGCCTCAGTTTCTTCATCTATAATAACCTACTAGGCATGTTTGTTATGAGGATTAGAATAATACATGCTGGTACGCAAAGTACCAGCAAAGGACATGAGAAAAATATATTTAATTAATAATTGCTCTTCTCCTCTTTCTTACCTTCTCTGGCTCTAAGAGGCTTAATTGCAAAGAATTTGTAGAATTTGCAGTCAAAATACCTTAGTTCACTTCTTGGTTATTCCACTTATTAGGCTGTTAACCTTGGGGTGGTTAACTATTCTAAATTTTGGTTTCAGCAATTCTAACATGGGCATAATTATAAAAACCCTGTGATGAGACAGTGGTGAAGAAAATGTATATTCTACCAGTACAGTGACTGGTACATAATACATTCTCAGAAACAGTAATAATAACAGTAAATTAGGAGGTACAGTTTCTCTTCTCACCATGGCTACTTAAAGCAAAATGAAGTAACAGAAATGTCTTGGTCAAGAATAGCATTTCGTGAAGATCCATTTGACATGTGGCCTAATTTAACCATTTGTGCATAGAAGAGAATTAATAAATGTCTTCCAAGAAGTATTTTAATTGTGTTATGTGATATTTAACAGAATACTTGTCTATATCCACATGTCAGTTTATTCAGATAGAGTACCACCCCTTTCTTTGTGTCCTCTCTCTACATTGCACATATTTCATTCATAATCTGTTTACTTGCCTTTTCCTTACTGTTCTTTAGTCGATTGATCAAACTGACAAATGGCTTATTGAATTGATCATTGAACTGAAAAGTTGGTTCCATCAGTATGAATAATTTGACAACCCCTTGCAGCTCTGTTACATATACAGCAGAAGAGGGGAAAAAAAGGAGGTGGGGGGGCGGTGGTCTATGATAATAATTGTCTGTAGGTCCAGCACAATTCCAGGATTTTTTTTCTTTGACTATGATATTTTTTTTTACTTTTGACAAAGGCACTTTTTTTCACTTTGAGGCCAAGAGACATTACCTTATTTGTATTTAAAACATTGGCAGTTAGGATATTATATGGGAAATAGAAGAGGATAATTTTTAAAAGTTATTTAATAAATGAATGAATTAGGGTATACATAGACTCCTGAAACTCTATCATCAGACTACCAGAGCAACCAGCTAGCAGGCAAAAACAAAACACTAAACTACTTTCTAAATCTCTCCATTTGAATTAAATGAAATCTCAAGCCCACTAGTATGCAGATTTTATTTTGTTTCTTAATGATGCAAATCTAGATGGAACATTTATTATATGCTTGTGTTGTTTCAAGAAGTGCAAAGGTAATTCAGTTACAGTTTGCCACCCCCAAGAACTCCCACTTAAAACGAAGTCACAAGCAAAGCCTTTTTACTGTACAAAACTTCCCTTTTACAGAGAGTTTGCTTAAAAATGTAAGCAATTCCACAGACGGAAGATCTGAGTAATTTCTTAAAGGTCATATTTCCCCCCAAATTGGTTTCTTTACCCTTACATTCTCATTGTACTGGGTGGAATATTTTTATTGTTTAATGTTGAATTTAAGGTTATAATGACTTAAAAGTCACGTACATTTGCTATCTGGAAGCAGAATTTTAATACAAGCAAATAAATAATAACGTAATTTTCTTACCTTGTTCTTGTGCATGAACAGCAACCCCAGCCACACATAGCACAATAAAATGAAGTAGTTTCCTAAGAAAAGAAAAAGACATTTGGAAAAAGCTTATTACTTGGACACTTACAATCTATAAGTCATATAAAATCTAAATGAACTCTAAAGCAAGAATAAGAATTAAACTATTATTGTAATTAGCTTGGTATTTTAATATTCATAGTGATTAAGAACAAAGGCTCTGGATTAAAATTCCAGTCTTGTCACTTACTATGTCACTTGGGCACACTTTTTAATCACCCTTTGCCTCAGTTTCTTCTCAGTTTTTTCTGTTAAACTCATAAGGTTTTTTGAAGATTAGCTGAAAAGGTTCATGTAGAGCACACAGAACGGCATCTGGCAGTGGCACATGGGAAGCACTCAATAAATGTGAACTAGTATAGGTGATATTATTATTATTATATGTTATGTCAAATTACCATACATGCAATTTCATACAAAGTAAGAAATTCCACAAAATAGCACAAATTATATTCACTTAACTATAGTGATTATAAATTAATGGAACCAGCTATTTATTTGTTTAAATGAATGTATGTGAAATCCATTTGAATATCATATTTAAATCACTCCTAGATTCATGATTCTTTGGTTTTGAAAATAGCAATGGCCTGTAGATGTCAACACTGAACATTTTATTAGTAGCAATTGTGAGTAATTGTGAGTGCAATACCCAATTGCTACAAATAAAAATGTCCATTCATAATTGATTAGCTATCTAAGCAGAAACATTTTGTAACATTTTTAGTATAGCCAAACCTTTGATAGATTTTGTTGAACATTCTTCATAACTGGCTAAAACTACCTCCTAAATGAACATCATAAAAATAAGTTTGAAAAGTGATGATGAGCATGCTAAAAATACTTCATTTACCTAATTCTTGCTAACATAGATCCTGATTCTGTTTTTGATTCTAACCAGAGACTCTTCAAATTATAACTCTGTAAAATGCAGTTCTTCAAGTAGTGATTACAGAGCTCTCTGGAAATTGTGTAGTCTTTCTTTTTCTTTTTTTTTTTTCTTTTTATTGTAACATAGTTGATTGTACATATCTGTGGCATACAGAGTTAAATGTCATTACCTGTGTGAAATGTGATCAATCCCCTCCCCCTTTCCCACCTTTGGTAACCTCAGTTCTGTTCTCTCCCTTTGAAAGTTCAATGTATTATTGTAATTGTATTTATTCTTTTTATCAAGCTCCTGGTGTACTAGTAGTAACCGGTACATTTTCTATTTATTATTAATATGATGTTTTTACCTTTATCAGCTATTATAAATAGCATCTTAATGTAAGAAAGATAATCTTTTTACAATGTTTAAGCCAACAATATAAAGTTATACTATTCATAACAATACACAAATTTCATTTGTATGAAAATGGTATTTACCATTTGTTAGTAAGTGAAAAATGCACATTCTATGGTCACACTCAGTCCAGAGCACAGCTCTTATAAGACAAGGTTTTGATAAAATACTTAACAACTGTCACCAATTCTATATTTGTATGAAAATGGTATTTACCATTTGTTAGTAAGTGAAAAATGCACATTCTATGGTCACACTCAGCAGAGCACAGCTCTTATAAGACAAGGTTTTGATAAAATACTTAACAACTGTCACCAATTCTATCATATAATCAACTGAATCACTACAGAAACTTCAACTGATGTGGGCAAATAGCTGAACCATATATTTTAATGAAGCCTATAAAATATTTCCATATAAGGTTTCATCCGTTTAGATCAATGGTTCCCAAATGTTAGTTTGCCAAAGAACCACCTGAGGTGTTTGTGAAAAATGCAGATTCTGGGCTCTGCTGCAGAGATTATGATTAAATAATTGGGGATGGATCCCAAGTATATATGCATTTTAAGTAGGTGATTCTAATACCGATTGTGTGTGTACCAAACTCTGAGAAAAAACAATTTAGAATATTCACTTTATGTTTACATTGTTAGTAAAATACATTAAAGTAGATATTATTTTTTGCTTAAATCACGTATATCTAACCTTATGACAAAGAACCTTTTTTAATCCTTTTCTACTGCACTAAGTCAGCGATTTTCAAACTTCAGTGTGCATCAGAATCACCCGGAGTTTCTGACTCAGCAGGTCTGGGGAAGGGATCAAGAGGTGCACTTGTAATGAGTTCCCAGGTGATGCTGATGCTGCTGATCTGGGACCACATTCTGAGGACCACTGCTCTAGAATACATGATGCTCAAGAGGCGATGTAAGACTCACCTGTTTTGGACCTTTTTTTGGCTTTGGCTGCCCACTGGAATCACCCAGGGAATATTAAAAACTATTTATTCTCATACTTGACACTGCCCTCCCTCCCCCACACACAGATTCTGATTTCAATGTGTTCATGTTAGACGCATTTTTTAAAAAAACTTCCCAGGTAATTCCAATGTGTATACAATGCTGAGGACCATTGTGCAAAATTAAAATGTTTTCTGGGCTCTCCAGGATGTATCACAATGTGATCTAGAGTTTGGGTGAGGATGCTATTTTCCTTCCAAATTTGTATTTCAACACACAACTGGCAAGATATGTATCAGTGAGACTAGAAAATTGCTCAGGATTACAATCACTGAAAGATAGTATATTTGAATTATGCTGTCTTAGTAGAAAGTAGAATGTTAAATAGGAGTACATCTCACCTGTTCAAGGTAATCTAGCTTACTTAGATGCTTAGAAACAACCCAAGAGACACTTTTCCTTTCAAAATAAAGCTAACTAATGGAGAGTGCAAAAACCAACACTATTTATTTAGCAATTCAGCAAACTCATAGACTTCCCCAATGACCTCAGGGGAAACAAATGAAAAATAAAGTTCTTTCTAGACATGTTAACAAGTCCATTCCTGGTGTGAGGCAGGAAAACCTGAACACATCAAACATCATCCCTTAGCTAGGTGATCCTAGGGGACTATGACAAATCAGTTGAACCATACCTTATGTAAGTATACCTATGCACTAAGGCTGATGACTAATGGAGAGGTAGAGATCAATGACTGAAATAGAGATTTTGTTTCTTTTTCTAATTATGACCAAAACTAATAGTCAACTAAGGAAGAACAGAAAAATTCACATTCCTTACAAGGCTTTCAAGGTCTTTATTATTCGACCTCCTTTTTTAGCACTATGAATCTCACTACACCTGATACCCCAAAGCTCCAGCCATACTGAGTTATTCTCTATTCCCTTAATAGACCTTGTATGTGCCTGAAATGCCCTCCCCTTCTGCATCTGTCTTATGTATACTCAAAGCCTAATTAAAACACTTGCTCCACGAAGTTTCCCATCACCCCTAAGGAGCAATGGATCTTTCCCTCATCTCCGTACTCTTGATGTTTTAACCGTAACTTTATTGTAGTCCTCATATGTCTTTATGATTAATATGATTACCTTTTATGATTAAGTAGTAAGCAAATATTGAGCAAGCAGCGGGTCTTTATCTTTATCTCTTGTGTACCCATGTCTTACATGAAATTGACTCAATAAATACTTTTAAGCGAGAAAGAAGCAATAGTGCGACCCACCAAGGACTGAGGAATTCAATTCTTCCTTATGGACCTGATTTTTTTCACACTTAGGAAATGTAAATTAAAATAAGACTACTTTTAGTACTTTAGATAAAGAAGAGAAATAAAATTTTTAAAAATCTCCTATGGTAAGGTATGTGGAAGGCGGCTTCTTTTTTTTTTTTTTTTTTTTTTAATTTCACTGTTTTTCTTATCTCTGAAGTGGGAACCCAGAGAAGAGATCAAGTTTCATTGATATAATCAGTTTGATAAAGAGCCAAACTCTATCGTTGTATAAAACGGATGTCTAATGAATCCAAGCTTTCTGGGAATTGTCTGTTTGGGCTGGGATTGTTTCTTTGGGTTTCCCCCTCTATGTTATTATATTTACTATACATTCCCTTATTAAAGAAAAAACATCAGGTTTACACATTAACAGTAGATAATAGAGTCCTTAAGGGCAGCAGCTGTTCTTTGTCCTTTTCTGAGTCTTAGCTGATTCATCTA